TATTCCTTCAACGAGCGCGTTGCGCAAACTGCATTTTGGCGTTGGAATAAGCGGGTTCAGGGTATTCCCTAATCGGGAGCTCCCGACTCGACCCTCTTACTTGTTGTTAATTTTTTTCTTTAAACAATATATACCAATTCTATAAATAAGACGCGCGACGCGCTTAATAGTTGTTGTATATGTGTCTCATCTCCCACCTATTGGTGTAAATATCCATATATGTATGTGTCTGCCAAGCCAAGGGAAGTCTATGAACTTAAGAAAATTGCAATATTCTGTTGCGCATATGACGTCACAGCGTCCATGTTTATATCCATGTTTTCCATGCATTGTTTCACTGAATACGTTTGTGATAGAATTGGGAATGAATAAGTTCTGGTAGCTGATGCTAGATGATAGTATGCTTACCAACTGGTCTATTGGGCAGAATTTTTAAAAATCCAACAGCAACATGGTGAAATTTGAACAAGCAGCCATAGAGCAATTAAACAAATTAGTTCGTCCTTACAAAAATCTCAACGAATAACCATAGATATAAGGCTGCGGTCTCTGACTAGAAGGCTTCTACAGCTTCGTTGTGATATAAGCGCAAAAATATTATTACATTTTGCATGTGTCATAAAATATCGGAATTTAAGCAGAGCGGTGTAATCCGAGAGTTGAGATTTCGAATAATGCACTCAATTTTGGGATCATCCCATCAATGTTGAGCACGCAAGCGAAACACTGACGCTTTGGTCTTATCTGATGGAATATGTTCCAAGCTGATATTCATATATAAATGGGTATTGTGCCTAGATATCTTGGATGACATTTTCAAGACGATGAGCAATTCTTTTCTGTGAGTAATGTGTCAATATCCCTATGATTTGTAGATTTGACAATCGAAGTAAAAGATATGTTTCTATACCCTGAACCCATTGAAAATGGGTAAAAAGAGTATATTGTATATGTGCAAAATGTAAATGTATGTAACAGGCAGAAGGAAACATCACCGACCCCATTAAGTATATATATTCTTGATCAGCATCAATAGCTGAATCGATTTAGCCATGTCCGTCTGTCTGTCCATCCGTCCTATAACCTATAAGAGCTAAAGACTTGAAATCAAGCTGTAGGACCTCCTACTTTTCCAAGCAATCGATAAAAATCGATATCGACATCATGTTTTTTGAGAAAATTATGTTAATATTAAGAGTCACCAAACTTGCAAAATGTGTGAAATGCGGCCTGTGAGATTCCCTATAAGAGAACACATTTCACACATCTTTCAAATAAGGCACAGTTTTGAATGTGTCAATTCGCCCCGAACATTTCGTATTTTGCGATGAATCATTGAGATTTCCATAAATGTTGTCAATAATGTGAAAATATCGTAAACATTAACAGCTGATATATCCACGAAGGCAAGCGGCAATTTTAAATAAAAACCTTTTAATAAGAATGATTCCGCTGTTTTAATACCCTGAACCCATTAGAAATGGGTATAAGGCTATATTGTATTTGTGCAAAATCCAAATGTATGTAACAGGCAGAAGGGAGCATCTCCGACCCCATAAAGTATATATATTCTTGATCTAGCCATGTCCGTCTGTCTGTCTGTCCGTCTGTCCGTATGTATGAACGCAAGGATCTCAGAACCTACTAGAGCTTGAGACTTGAAATTTTAGATGTATGTGCTCCTAGTGCCCGCGCAGATCGAGTTTATTTCCGATAATCGATAACTTACTCCGTTTCCAAGCAATCGATAAAAATCGATATCGATATCCTGTTTTTTGGGCAATTTTGGTAAATAATAAGAGCTAGAGTCACCAAACTTGGAATATAGCTTCAAAAATAGAATATATATATGCATACTTTCTTCTGTTGTTTTGCCCTGTACTCAGCTAATGAGAGTGTGCGGGGTCCATCTTTTGGTTACACAGGGACGTTTGTTTAATATGATGCACTATATGTTTTTGTTAGGTTATTTTAAATATATTATTTGCATTTGTTCATTATGAACTGCACACAAACAACGGCAAATGACCAATAACTGCTGGCACGGTTGCCATATAAAGTTGATTCAAAATAAATACTTTTGTTCCTTGGTGCTTCTGCTCCAATCATAACTTTATTGGTTTGATTTTACAATGTCTTTACAATGTTTTACTTAGATACTACTTTGCTATGACCCGACGAACTGCGCTGCCAGCGGCGCCAGCAGCGGAGCGGTTATGTTATATCACTAACCAAACAACATATCAACATCAAAATCATTAAAAAGAAGGGCGCGCATCAGACGCGTGCCAATAATGTATTTTCTTTTGCGCCCATGATAAGCCCATTCACAGACATTTGTATGTGTGTGCCTATGTGTAGAGGTCCAAAATCAGAAATCCAAAAATCTTGTTAAATTTGCATCGGGGACAGGCAGGCAGGCAAGCAACAGGCACACAAGCGCATAAATGTTTATATTCATATACAAAGTATGCAAGTATGCGTGAATAGCGAGTCCAAAATATTTTAAGTGCCCAAATGGCAACCCTTGGGTACCCTTACCAACGATAGCGAGCTAAAATGCAAGAATTTCGCAACGACGTGGCAAACCCTTTCTCTATTTCATATTAGCCGTGCCTACAAAAGGGTAGAAATCCCTCAGCATTTGAGAAAAATTGAATTTGTGCGCAGTTTTGCTCGTCGGACAAATGCACACACACACACATTGAAACGATCCCTAACAATAGAGAGAGCATTGAGAGCTGAGAGTATGTGCGAGCGAGATAAAAGTTAACAGCGTTGCCGTTCTATCGCACAAATAATATGGAAGAGAGTGCGCCAAGCACTTTCCTGTAGAGTAAGCGGTTCAAAAATACATCATATGTATATCTTACTCCCTTACTCGCGAGTTTGGATCAGTTGCCACCGATACATTTTGTGTCTACTTCTGGTACTCATGTCCAGCCTATATGATGGTTGGTTAGTGGTTATATACTTATGGGCAGCGTTGAGAGCTGAGAGTTGATTGAGCAAAGAGGCTAGCAAAATCGGATTCATTGCTAGCTTTATCTGCTCCGAGAGAAAAAGAAGGTGGCAAACTTGAAGATTCAAGCTTCAAGTTTACGAAATTGTATAAGTGTCTCGGATTTTGGACAAATTACCTCTTGCAACGAGTAAGATTAAGCACATAAGATTAAGAACCAGAGCTATTAAACATTTTCAAATACTAAGATTTAATATTTTGTTAGTTTAATAGTCTGAGATGAACCACCCTGGTTGGCTTCAAAGAATTAATTGAGGGAATTAAGTTGGGAACACAAATATCTAAGATTAAGTTCCTGGTGCTAAAAAAATTAATAGAAATATTCATATCAATCGAGACATATAAAAGACCAATCGGTTGAATGAGTACGTTGATTTGACAAAGAAACGTTTCCTTTGCTATTATTGGTAGCTGAAAATTGTGAAATACGAGGATTGCAATTGAACATTATATTTAAAGTAGGATGATAAACATCTTCAGGAAGATATAAAGGAGTGGACCTGGACACATTAGTAATAAGATAGTCGTTTACTATATTATGTGTTCTATTAAAACTATTAGAAATTGAATTAATGTGAAACAACGAAAGGTCTAGCATGCAATCTATAAAGGAATGCTGTGCTGAGGGAGCTAGATTATTTTCGGCAGTAAATAATGACCAAGAGATATTCGGTAAATTATAATCACCTAACACTCTAAATAGGTCATTATCATGCACGTGTAAAGAAAATGTTAAATGTTTCGTATAAAACTGAATATCAGAAGAAGGATGAATATATTGATATTCCGCGTAGGACAAGGCACGTTAGCTGATACAATCTCAGCAACAGTAGGCATACTAAAAAAGAAAAGTTCTGACCACCTCCTCAAGTCCACCGATCATTTTTATGCAAAATAATATTGTTCAAAAAAACCTCAAAATCAATTGTTTGAATTTAACCATGTTTCTGAAAATGCGAATATATCCGAACCGTAGGATAGCTAGCCAAAAAAAGATTTTTAAGTTTGGAACGAGACCTCTGACATTCTGATAATGAATAGAATCTTGGTCGGAAGACAAAGCTAGTTTTTTGCGGCAGGACTTGATCTTCAGCCTGAAAGGCGGGTTTCGTCTTCTTTGTTTGAACTCTTAAACAATCATTTGTGCAAGCCAAAATTTAGGATCACAAATAATTGGGAACATATGAAATATTAAGAGGCACAGACACTGCTTCTTACAAAGTGGACTAGATTGCGGGTAAGTTTTCCCTTTGTGGCCAGGAGCTGACGGGGCTGCAGCAGTTTGGCTGACTGAAGCAGGACAAGTCTATTGGACTTATTATTTATAAAAGCATTTTAAATAAAGAACCAAAAAATTCGAAATTTAGAAATAAAAAGATAGCAAAACTGCGCACAAATTCAATTTTTTGGTTAGTGCCAAAACTGCCCATAAACAGGATATCGACATTGATTTTATCGATTGCTTGGAAACGGAGTAAGTTATCAATTGTCGGAAACAAATTCGATCTGCGCGGGAACTAGGAGCATCTATTTCTAAAATTTGATGTCTCTAGCTCTTATAGGTTCTGAGATCCTTGCGTTCATACATACGGACGGACGGACGGACGGATCAAGAATATATATACTTTATGGGGTCGGAGATGTTTCCTTCTGCCTGTTACATACATTTGCATTTCGCACAAATACAATATACCCTTAAGCCCATTTTTAATGGGCTTACGGTATAAAAATTATAAGCCCACCCTCACCAATTAAAGATTTTTCGACTATGCCTACACGCAAACATACCAACGGTTGATTGTCATTACACGATTCACATAATGGATAATTATAAGCTTACAAATGGGGCTGATGAAAGTCAAGCAAACAAGAAAACAGACAGCCCACCGGAAGTTCCGCAATTGTTTTGTTTTATAATAAACAAAATACATACATACATACACATCGGAGATCGGGCCAGTCAACATCATCATTAAGATATTTCGTGCAATAATTGTTTATTAGAATATTAAATACTATACATACTTGTAATATAATTAACCTAGTACAAGTGTTTTTAACGAATAAATCAATGACAACTTAAGTATTATATTATTTAATATGATTGCGTTGTGTCTTTAATAGTACCTGTACTTTGAAGATAACTCTTATTAGAACAAAGCTCGTAAAAAAATTTTCGCCACATACGTCTCGTAACAGGATCTAAGATAATAAAATATATAAAGATAACAAACCCTTGCAGAGTTGCTGTGAGACAGAAAAGATATGAAAATACAATACCAACTTTTATTGTTGATAAAAAACCGAAAAACCATGTAAATCCCAATAAAAAGAAGAGCAGTACTGATAACCTTATCTGATAGATTAAAACGGGTTTATCAGTATGCCTTATTGGTGTGCTGGACCTTCCTAATATATTATATATAATAAGACAAAAGATAATAAAGTTTGCTATTATGATGATGGAAATTGGCATAATTATGCCGAAGTAAAGCGCATAACCGGAAGGGTAGCAAATGGCCCCTTGACTAAACGAATCAGAATCTAGCAGAATAACAAGCACAACTGGTATAACTGGTACACCCCAACATAGAGCGGTCGATTTTATAAAGAACCTGTTCGGCCGAGTTCCTCCAAATACATGCACATATCGCTTGAATTGCAAGTATGCAATCACCATCATCCAGAAAAACTGAACCAGGACAGAGTAGTGAAGAAGAGCGCCAATTGCTACACAACTAGGTATAATTTTATTTATAATTAAATGTAGTGAATATTCCTCTGTATTAACAAAGCAAAGAATTATCATCTGCAAAGCTATTGCAGCTGAAAGTTGTAGTAGTACCTTGGAAGACGGTTTCTGGCGCCAAGAATTAAATATTGCTGCAGTTATAAATATGCCAGATATACCGAGAAGTGATAATGTACAGCCTATTACCGTTATAATGTCAAGAGCCTGGTCATGAATTTGCTGGATATTTACTTCAATGTCTTCTTCCACAGTAAAATTAAAGCCTACTAGGTAAGCGAATGGCGTTAGATGGCTTACTTGACATAACACAATATCTTCGTACATTTCGGAGAGACTGGAGACCTGAATCCCATCTGAGGCCCACTTTTCAAAATTCCAATATCCACACATATTTTTGGTTTTATTGTGTTTTGATGAATCACTTTGAAAAAGTCTAAAAGCAAGTGGCAATTCTTCAGGTAAATGCGTACTGTGACCCGGTAAGGATATTGAAACGACACGACCCAAAGCACTTTGTGAGATATGATTGGCTTGTGATTGAAAAAGTTTGTCATTTGAGTAGACTTTAATAATCACAATACTATTTGTTACCTCGGTAACATTAAGGGTATTTAAATTTGCATCCAATTGTCCCAAGAGTTTTTCTGGAACATATGTGGCTAATTGTAAGTTAGGTTCGTAAATGAAGTCCTCAATTTCATGATTCGACTGCAGGAATCGGTAGTGCTCATTTTTAAATGCACCATTTAGTAAATATGGTAGTTCCGTTGTATTATTATCATTTTTAAATATTGCTATTCCAGAAATATTAGCTATCAACGGGTTAATAATAAAATAGAGTAAATTGGGTGATATTTTTACGGAAACTCCAATATCCTCATAGTCCAACACTTCAAAATCGGCTCTCGGTTCTAATTCATTAGAATTTCCAATAGATCCGCTTACATTATCTTTATTAAATATTGTCTGTGATGAAAAAGTATTCATTGCGATTTCAAATGCCTCCAGAAGTTTGTTGGTTGAGTTTAATTCAGCTGACATCCGTATTGTGGTTTCTTTCACATTTATCAGATAATTGTAAATATATATAAGATCTCGGGTGATGTCTTTCAATACTGCGTCAGCATGAACAAGTTCCGCACCCATCGCTTTTTTTGGCAAACTCAAAACAAACTGATCCAAACTTTTTACAGAAGCTTGCACAATGTCAGCAGTAAAATGTATATCCACAGGTAAAACTTGTCCAGCATATTCTTGCAAAATATCTTTAACTTTTTTAACCACCCTTGCTGGTGTAGCTTTAAGCATTTTCGAGTTAGTTAAGCTGTAAAGAGTTTTTGTTATTTTCAATTTGTATTCGTTAAGTTGGCATGATATGTTTCCCTTCAATGTTTCCCAATAAGCACCATGCGTAAAATTGCCAAGACAATGGCGTGTATATGGCATGCCATTAGTTTGAAGACACAATCGTGATAATGTGCCCACTTGCCCAATCACCGCCTGCTTCCACTGGTATGTGTCATTATTCAAATTAAATTGAATTGGAAAACAATATTCTGAGCTACGTATTACAATCGAATTATTTGGGCTGTAAAGTGATAAAAGCTCTTTTAATAAAGTCCAAACTTGCATACGAACTGAAGTGTCGTGTCTAACATTATTATCGTTTTCCAAGCTATTATCTTCCTGGCTACTTTCCTCTTCACTATTATCAACTGCAGAGTTTTTTAGGGAAGCAGTCAAGTGAACCCAACAATTTATATTTTGTGTAGCAATTTCTTCTATATCCATAATACGTGAATTATGTAGATTCAAGTCTCGAGACACCTCGCTACTTCTTTCTCGTAGCACCTTCAGTACATGCTTTCCAAGCTTTTTTATGTTTTTATAAATATTGTTGCACATGTTAGTGTATTCATTTTTAGTTTCTATAATGCATGGGATATTTATTTTCATAGCAAAGGAATGTCCACGTTGTTCTTTTGTTGCCACTACCCGTTGGGTGGTCACAAAATTAAAATCGAAGATAGTGTGTCCTTCACACCAATATTCGCCTGGTCCGTCGCCAAGTAGTTTCAATTTAAAGATTGACTTGGTCTTGCTTTTATTTTCCCAAATAAGATCAATTTTAGTGCTTCTTTGAAGATCATAATCTGCGTTTGTAAAACATTGCACACCATTGTCATTTTTATTAATACGCCAAATATAGTCCCCATTGTAAACTATCAGAATTAACGCTTGTAATGTTATGTCGACTTTCAATATCAGTTCAACGGGGTTTTCTAGTCTGTCGATAGTATTTTTGTATAAAATCGGTAATCTTTTGTTATTTGCATGACTAACAACTTGCACTACTTCATTTCTGTTCATGAGAATCACGTATTCGTCGCCAAATTTGTCCACAAAATTGTCAACTTGAAAGAATTCGTTTTTTTTTTCCCTTGGTAGGAATTCGCTAAGTAACATTCTTAAGCTATTGCGTTTTGAAAAATATTCTTTTATGCGAATCGAATTTTGTTCTGTAGATAATATTTTTTGCCAGTTGACACCATAGCATTCATGTGGACGATAAGTAAGCGCGCCTTCTCCTTCGGGACAGCCTGATCTGGCTATTAGGTTATCTTGATATATACAAATCGAGTGCAACAAGTCTTCACAATCAGTAATATTTATGATAAAATCAGAACTCTCTTTCTTATCATTTTTTTGTTGTAGGCGATGGTAATATCGTACTGACATACATTTTTTATCAGATCTTAAATCTGTTAGGTTAATATTGTCGTTGACAATTTGTCCCCAACGGTCACCTGGCAAACGTATTTTATATGGCATATAACTATTTTCACGTTGTATTGGTAACCAATATTCACTAACGTTTTTTTCATACAAGAACTGTGTGAAACTTACAATCTGATGTTTAGAAATATCTAATGGTAAAATTTTATTAGAGCCATGGCAAAAATTGTCATCATACTTCTGTGGTTTTGATGAAATTTTAAAACATAGCGGATCACCTTTGTCATCATAAATTTCGACTAAGTCCTCCGGGCAATATTTATTAATCCTCTCTTCTGGTTTGCATACAACCTTTTCTGGCAGCCACTGGCCGGTAGTTGTGTTACACTCGCGTAAAAAGAGTTCCCAATGGTCCTTCCAACATAGAATGTCTTCAGAAGTTGTGTAACGAACGCCCCGAAATTTCCAATATGCTGTGCCACTAGCTGTCTCTGTTGTATTATCATCACATTTTGTAACCTACATATGACGAATTTAAAATTTGAGTGTAATTACAATGGATGATTGCTGACCTTTTTTGGTAAAGTGCAGGAAAAATGTACCCATATAATAATAAAAATTATGGATCGTCTGGCCATTTTTTTAAGGCCAAGAAGCATCAATGCACAAAACACTGATTTTGTATCTTTCACATCTAAAAACCAAAGCACAGTCCGAGCTATCTTATTATTTTTTATCTCAATTTAGATATATTTCTTTATCTCTGTTATCAAATGTGTGCATTATACCCTGTAAATATAATCTTATAAAACGGGTATTTTTTTTTTATATTAATATAATTTTGATTGCATTGAAAGTAAACATCTATTACAATATGCAACAGAACATTTTCTTGTTAGTTACGGCAGGTTACTATGCTTGTCATAACTTTTTTATATATCTTATTATAGCTCTATAAATAAAAATGTTTGTCCTGGCTGACTTATTGGCTGACTGGTGATCAACGCACAGCCCAAGCCGTCAGAGCTAGAAATCTTAAATTTTCACTGTAGTAAACTTATATGAAGATGGTGAACATCAAAACGGAGTTTCGGGAAATTCCACATGCAAGTATGGATAAATCGCGAATAATGATTGTATCCGATCGTCCTTTAAATCAATTTAAAATATCTTTGTTCAAATTCCTTTGGGGTGTGTTTTACACTTTTTAAAAAATGTACACCTTTTTCGAAATTTGGGTCAAAGATTTGGTGGGTGACGTTTCGAGCTCAAATTCATTTTTAAGGATCTATATGAAAAATTATTTGAGGTGTGCGCCACATTTTTCGCAAAACAATAGCTCCTAGGTAATAAGGGCGATTCAATGATTTTTTGATTTAGACTTACAAGGACAGAAACCTCTTATTCGATGTAGTTTTAACATATTTTTAAATAGAAGTGGAGCTTACGGTTAAACGGGTAGATTTCAAAATTTCTAAAATTTTTAGCACGAAACGTTCCACGGGCAAAGCCGGGCAACACCCGCTAAATATACATATATAAAACTATTTGTCCTGATAAAGTGATTGGTAGTCAACACACAGCCCAAACGGCAATCATTTATGTGCTAGAGATGCACGCCAAGATGCACGTGGGTTTGAAATATTTCATCTTAATGGCGAAAAGCGTTTGTATTTAGCTCAGCCTCAAAATCATTTTCAAAGAGACTCCTTCGATTTCATTGGAATAGGTGTTTCACACTTTGGCGGTCAAAGATTTGGTGGGTAATGTTTCGAGCTCATTCAAAACGTGTTTCATATATTTTTGCAGAATCAAGTTGTAAGTTTCATCTGATTTGCTTCAAGCCTATTTTCAAAGCCCCACATAGGAGCTTGGCATGCTTCATCGATTTTCGAAATTTCATCCCAAGCTGTAGTAAATAGCGCAAAACAGTTCTACAAAAGATTTTGTTTATCATCCGATCGGCTTAAAAATAATTTCAAAAATCTTCACGAATATTCATTTGACACGAGTGTCACACCAATCACTCTTGATATTGGCGGAAAATGTTTATTTATTTTAAGCGATATTTGTGATAATTTGGTTGATGCGTATATTTTTCGGCTTTAAGATTCTCACTGCAAAACTAGTGGGCGCAGAAAAAGTTTTTTCATATAATGGTTTAATTAGCTTCAAATATATTTTCAAAATAGTACAGGCAGATTTAAATTTTTTAGGCCCTGGATAAAGAACTAAATATAAAGCATAAAATTTGGCACGGGCTAGTCCGAGGAGTGTCCGATACTATATTATAAAAGGGGTTATTTTTAATTTATATGTTTCTTAACCGATATTGAATAAATTTTCTTGTGGTGTGTAATATTTGTTATTATTGGTGAATACTTCTGGCTCTCATTCGGACAAGCGGACAGACATACAGAAGATCTTGACTAGATCTCTCGAATATTGATACTGCCAACGAATATATAAGCTTTATGAGGTCGGATTTGTTTTGTTTTGCCTTTTACATATATAGGTACAAAATCGTTATACCGTGTTACCTATTTTGAATGGGCTCAGGGTATTTAAAGCATTACCTGTAAATATTCATAGATATATATATGTATGGAATCACATGCATTCAATTTAGCTAACAGAAACTGTTCAATATGGTTGGTATGGCTGGTATGGCTAAATCAAAGACAATCTAAATACTAAGATGAGCAACGCCATACAATAAAATGTCAATATGCAGCTTGATTTTTTGAAAATTATGAACGAAAACGAAATCTGTATCATTGCGCTCTCACAGTCGAGAGAGCGAAAAAGCTGGAAAAAAATGTACTCTCAACTTCAGGCCTGAATATACATACATAACAGCATATTTGAATGTATTTTTTATTCGCTGTTCTGGCTTTTTAGCGCTGATCTATCCCGAATTTGTGTTGACAATCCGTAGAAAATATCTATTTTTAAGTAGATGCAAATATTTATATATTCAATTTCATTTAATTAAATTAATGTTAATTTTACATTAAAGTACATTTGGACTTTTTAATTACAATAAAAAAATGTAATTAAAAATAAAACAATTAAGAAGAATTATCTTTAAAAACCACAAATTTTCACTTATATTTCTTAATATAATTTGTATTACATTAAAATAATAACAATTTAATTAATAATTAAATTAAAGAAAAACTATAAATAAGTGCATATATTTAAAAGTAGCTATTTTCTAAGAGTTTTTCATATGCAACACAAATTTGGGGTAGGTCATGAACAGCGCTAGAAAACTAACAAAATTAATTTATTGTCAGCTAAAGCCAGAGCAGTGAATAACAACACATACTTACATACATACGTATTTTGATGTACTTATTCATGCATAATTCACGCATACAACCAAAGGTGCTTGCACGCCATTGGCTGAGACAAGAACTTTTCTCGAGCATACACTGTCCAAAAACAAAACTGAAATCAATAAATGTGTGCTATTTTCTTAACATAGTTATTGCGCAAGAAGCGCCTTGTATAAAAATTATTAAATTCTTCAATTTTCCTGTAAAATTTATTGTTGGTATCTAGGGTAATATATCATTTAAATAAGGCATTCATTTCATGGATTAAGCAAAAGCACTTTGTGTCGATCGTAGGATCAAAACTTTATCGCTCAATGTAAATCGGAAACGAAGCGACGCAAAACACCATCGACCAGCTTTGCTGAACGCAGGCTGGCGACTAGCTTCGTTGCTCGTGTCAGAATCAACAAGCCGCGACTTTGCCATTCGAACAGACAATCAGCTAGCAAGTCGTGCGAAATTGTAAAACCCAGTTCAGGAAGCCAGGGTAGAAATTTTGCGTCGCAAGCAAATGTTTGGGCGGTTTTCACCTTAGTGTTTATATTGTATTTGGCTAAATGTAGCGATCCACCAGCAACAGAACCAATTTTCAGAAAAATTGAATTTGTGGGCATTTTTGCTTGTTCGGACAGACGCACACTGACAGTACAACGGTAAATACACATATAGAAAGAGCACTGAGAGTTACCCAAAACAGTTTCTGTAGTGCGAGGGAATAAAAAAGAGCAGCGATCCCGTTTTAACGCACAGGTAAAATGTATTTCTTACTCTCTTGCTGTCTAAGCGTTCGAACGTGTCTCGAACCCAAACAAAAACGAAGGCCGACTAGAACTTCTTACTTGTTTTCATAGAGTAGGGGCAAGTAGTGTTGTCTGTTGCGCGTTGAAACACTACCGAGGGAGCTTTTTTCAATATACTTTTATTACTGCTAAGGGTCTTAGGGTCATTTTTTGTTGGTAGAAGAGTGTTCAGGGTATCCCCTTGTCGGCAACTCCACCAAAGAGCCGCTCACTTGTTCATTATATATATATATATATCCTTTAAATTTATGAACTAATATCTTTTGTCCACCGACCACATTTCTTACACATTTCTTTTTCCCCATAAGAAAACTCATATCATATATTTTTCAAAAATTGCAATTTTGAGAAAAATGTGTAAATTTGCCGCGATCATTTCGTGTTTTTTGCGATGATTAATAGAGTTTTCTATCGATCTTGTGCAAAATGGTAAAGTATCATAACCATAAACAGCTGGTATATCAACGAAGGCAAGCGGCAACTTTAAATAAGAAATTTTAAATCATAATAATCCTACAGATTTTTTTAGATTTAAAACATGGCGAAATGTTGAAAAGAGTACCTTAAATGGAACCCTTACTTCGAGAGAGCATGCGTATCTAACTAGATTGTATGCTTCAGACATTACTAAAATTAAAATTTTTTTAATTTATTTCAGTAAAATGAACATCTTTAAGTCGAACGCATACAATTTATTGTTTTTTCTGCCATTTATGTTTTTTTGCTATAAAACAAGTCATGTAAGTAATACAAAATTTTTATTTATATTTAAACATTTTTTTTTCGGCGAAGTACCTAAAGGATTACGGTCATGACAGTCTTCACATTTCAGCATCCATGCGAAGAGATAATTATATTTTCTCGTGTGTTTTTTCTTTCTATAAGAGCTAGAGACTTGAAATTTCGAATGTAGGTCCTCCTAGAGTTAATTAGTGGTATGGCTCTTAGGTAGAGGTGTTCTGTACCGGGTTCGAGTCTTATTGAAGGAACTATTTTGTTTTTAATTTATTTCTATTTGTGCTAAAACAAACGCACTCGTTGCGAGAGCTGCATTTGGTGTTGGCAAATAAAGCTGCATGGCATCCCTTAGTCGGAATATTCCCGGCTATAACCACTTATTTTTCTTATACCCTGAACCCATTAAAAATGTATAAGGTAAGGTATAAGGGTATATTGTATTTGTGCAAAATCCAAATGTAGAAGGAAGCATCTCCGACCCCATAAGTATATATATTCTTGATCAGCATCAATAACTGAATCAATCTAGCCATGTCCGTCTGTCCATCTGTCCGTCCGTCCGTATGTATGAACGCAAGGATCTCAGAACCTTTAAGAGCTAGAGACTTGAAATTTTAGATGTAGGTGCTCCTAGTGCCCGTGCAGATCGAGTTTGTTTCCGATAATCGATAACTTACTCCGTTTCCAAGCAATCGATATCGATATCTTGTTTTTTGGGCAATATTGGTAAATAATAAGAGGTAAGGTCACCAAACATAATATGTTGTTTTTCGAATATAATATATATGTCAAGTATCTTTCATTTTATATCTACCGCC